AAGAAAGAAAGAAAGAAAGAAAGAAAGAAAGAAAGAAAGAAAGAAAGAAAGAAAGAAAGAAAGAAAGAAAGAAAGAAAGAAAGAAAGAATATTGAAGATCTATGTGAGGCTGAGTGTGTGTTCAATGCAGATCCTCTGGAATTCACTTTGAGAATATTCAGCTTATAAAAAGAATCTTTCTGTCTGTGCTGAGATGTAGGGAAGGCAGGCGGGCGGGGTGCTTCTCACGTCCGCACTGCTGTCTCTGCAGGCTACATTTAATTGGACCCTCATTCAGCATCTTCCAGGTCTGTCCTCGTTTTGATCAGGAAGAGGGTCTTGGCTACTACATATGCACTAAAAAACAGTTGGGGAGGCTTGTCCATGCACTTGTGCCTATGTTTGAATCCATCACGGAGACAGATGAGCATGATCTGTTGATGCAAGATACCACATCTCCTGACAGGCCAGTCTAGTCATCTGCTGAGAGGTAACTGCCACAGTGAATTAGGAGAAGACCAGCGAAAACAAAATACTGTGACTAAGGATAGAGGAGGAGACTCCAACGATAGCTGATGTAATCATAAACCAAGAGGCATAAAGAGGCTTGAAGGTTATCGCTGCCTACTTTGAGCTTGACACCTCAATTAGCTCCAATTACTGTCACACTGTTCAGACAAATGAAAGTTAATAGAATTTGAGAACTTTTGTCATGATGAGAAAATTGTCTTTTGGTATTGGCAGCAATTCAAGGCTTAACAAGAAAGTCGTTAGTAAGGCTATTTGGCTACTTCCTCTCATCAGCCCACACATGCCCACTGAGGGTCCTCCAGCTCATGAGGCTTTTGACACACTTGATCAGAGCTCTTCACAGAAAAGGGGTCTGTTTGAACTGAGAAAAGCAGGTGTGGCCATTGATGGAAACCCTGAGGACCCCAACTAATAGACAAACCTTGACCCACACCGGATGCTGAAAACGGGAGAGCTTATCTGTTTGCAGCAGATTGGATACATGTGAGGAAGGACAGAAGTAACCCCAGAGTCTACTACACCCAGGAAAATTTTAAATTCCATTTGGACTAACAGCCAAACGGTTCGGTCACACTGTAAAGCAACAGTAAAAATCTATATTCAAGTTAAGCTCAGGTTGTGTGATCAGGTCACCATCTAGGAGGAACGTGAACGCCAACATCCCGGTCTCCGACATTAGCTTGTTTCTTCTAATCGACTCAGACTAGCTTCACTGTCTCCTCTGACAAAAAGCAGACCTACACCATGACGCTGCGTCCACCATCTATTGTATCTGGGAGTTCAGATTAATGTTGCAGCATCACATTATAACACCTGGCCATAGATCTGTTTTTTTAATGTAAGTAAAAGAAGGCATCACATTTCATCATTCTAAGTCGCAGTTTATGCTGCTTTCCATTGGCCTTGGATCTGGCGAGTCAGAGTGAAGAAATCCCCAAGTTGAAAGGGTCCCAGTCACTCATGCTCCACATTGTTTGTATAAAGTCAGTGTTACAACCATAACAATGGCAAAAGCATGTTCTATGGGGTATTTTGTGCCTATAAACAATTAAAGTAATGTTGATTGAACATTAGCAGCTGTCATAAGAACTCTGATGTTCTGATCTTTGCATTTTAAGAGGAATCTGAACCTTTACTAGAGAGCAGTAATACTGTAGTTGCTGCCCATCATCCAAACTGTTTTCATTGATGCATACCTTTGCTATGGTTTGGTTTAAACTTTTAAGTTATTGAATAAAAGAAAATGATACAAATGCTGCCCTTGGAATGAATATGACTGTTTACCTCAGAGATTTAAATCACTGCTTCCTGTTGCTGAAAGTTAGGCATGAAAAAAGGGCCTCTAAGAAGACCAACTAACTAACAAGGTTGCTGCCTTGCAAGGTAAATTACTGCTTTATTTGTGTATTATCATGTTTTAGCAGGAAAAGATGAAAGATGATTCATGTTGATATAAAAAAAGCACTGTTGTCCCTTTTCTATCTTCTCCAGAACAACCTTTTAGAAGGTTCAGAACCCCAACTCAGATTAACATGATGTGATTAGTGCTTGGTTATTTATGTCTGTGGCTTAATTTGTGCAAATTTCAATGTAAAAGCAGCGTGAGCCCTTATAATCCATACTTTCTACAGAAGAACATGAGGGAAAATATGGTTTCAGAGCTCTTATATGGACACCACTTGATCTTTTGGACGTAAAACAGCTCAAGAGGTCTATTTGAGTTTCTAGAGAGAAGGATCACTGTTGGTTCATGGCAAAGGACATCAAGCATGCACACCAATACACTCTCACATCCACATAGTTAAGCCTGTCATGTTATGCATATGCATAGATGAGAAAATAAAATCCTAATTGCTTCTCAGCCATTTCAAGTGGTGGCATTGACTTGTGTGCGGCCCTTTGCATGCCTGATGGAGAGATGGAAACCACTTGTGCTGTAGAACTCCAAACCACACGGTGTAAACCAAACTTTTTTTTCCCCTGTCATCCTGTGACAAGAAGAAAGTGGTGCTCGGGTTGATCATGGCATGAATGCTTTGCAGGTGAAGCTCTCAGTTCCCACTGAGGCACTTATCCATACTCAGGCTACAGTAGAATGCTCGTGATTAAAGCATTGTGTGAAAGAGGAGGCGGCACTTCAGTGATATGCTGCAAACGGGCAGAATGTTTGCAGTGTTGACCAAAAGTGCTCCAAACAGTCTGAATGTGATTTCTTCTCCTTTTTAATCCTTTGGAATACTTTCTAAAGTTTTAAGTAATGAGAGCAATAATAATCATGCTGTTATAATCTCAATATGGCCGTTTTTATGCTAGTAAAAGAAGAAGGACATCATGCCAGACTGTTGGTTCTGCAGCCAAAGCAACCATCTTCGGGCAAGTTGGATCAGGCCTTTCATTCAACTGGTGAGGAGGTGGCACCAAAAGAAAGCAGTGAGAGAAGACATTGTTACACGATGGAGGGGGGGAACTAAAACAAGCAGAGACCTGAGTTGAGGGGCGAAGAGACGGAAGAAGAGGAGGTAGAGGAAGCGGCAGCGACAGCAGCAGGAGGGGAGCCATGGGTGGAGGTTGGTCCAGTAGCGAATGGAAAGCTTTTTTATACAGAGATATATAGACAGAGGAAATAAGGAGAGACAGACATATGCAAGCTTAAAGCTATCCGAAAGGATACCTTCAGCAAACTTGTGGGTCTGAGCATGATCAGATCAAATTGCAAACATCTTTGCATTCACATACTCGAAAAACTGTAGAGCAAACTGCAAAACGTCACAAGAGATAAAGCATAAAAACACCACATACCGTTTAACAGCTACGATTTTTTTTAACAGCAGAAGCAACGTGATAGCTTGTTAAAATATGTGCAGGACTTATGAATCATGTAAAGAGAGGCCGCAGGAAAAAAAAAAAAAAAAAGCTCTCTTTCGTAAGGTCATTTGCTGCTCAGACTCATCTGGGCTCTAATTGAATTAAGAAGGCCTCCAGGGGCCGCGGGCTAACCTGAGCGCTAATCTGTGGGCCATTATTTCCTGTTAACGGCACGCTCCCTCTCTCTCCCTGCTCCCAACTCGGCTCTCGCTCTGTCTGACGGGCCCACAGCATGTGTGATTTAAAAGTTCACTCATTTCAAACCTGAGCCGCTGTCCCCTGTGGCGATCCGTGTTAAAAATAGAAGGAGGCTGATTTTTGCTTGTTTGTTTTATCGGGGGCTGCATGAAGAAGATGATGGCTGCGAGGCTTCGGAGAGGGGGGTGGGGGAAGTGGAAATGTTGCCTGAAAGAGGTTTAATGATGATAGCTGTATCGCAGTGCTGTGTTTGTCAGTGCTTTCTAAAGGGAATTTATTACTTGGCAGTTGTGGAGTTTTCGACCGCTTTAATTAACACTCCACTTTGACCTAAATATCAGATTAAAATACCAAAATAAATATTCATCAAGGTTGTTGTCTTTACACATGTTTAGCACTGTGGCGTTCTCCCTTCATTGCCTCTGTGTTGTGTTTATTATGTGATTTATTTTTTACATGCTTTTCAGCCAAAGTATTAAAACCACCTGCAAGATTCAGGCTAATGAGCGGGACATCTGTGAATTGTCTTGTGATGTCATGTTTTGGATTGTGCAGTGGGGCTAAATACACGGAACCAACATCACTTTGTTGTACGATCACTGCTGTTAACATGAACTGTCTTTTTGATTTGTGATAGCTTCCCAATGTGCTAAGTATAGTTTCATTAATTTCGCATGTACTTATTTAATGTACAGCCTCAGCATTGCACTTCATTCACCTGCAAACTGAACACATTGATCTTTAAAAGATAGAGTTCAGTATGTTGAACCAATCTGACTGTATGATGTATGTAAAGTGCCTGATAAGAGCATCTTATTACAAGGTTTCTGTTTCTGCTACATGGATTGTTTTTATGGGAGGTTTTAACAAAAGCTTTCTGCCAGATTTAAGGGCCTGATTAACAGTTATCTTACCAACAGATTTTTCCAACAGACTCTATAAACTGGGCAACAAAGATAAACCTGGTTGGCTTTAAAACAGTGAATACTAATTTCAACCCTACATGTGTTGCACAGACATGGGGGACTGAATGACTCATATTGTTTCCTGGGATGTTTTCCAAATCTTCATGGCAGCAGAAACATCCACAATGACTTTGAAAAGTACAAATGAGAGATAAAAACATTTGAAAGCCCTATTTACCTTGTGTCGTCCCATTCAGGACTGAGTCCCGTCAAAGAGCCACGTGACTCTGAGACAAACTTGTAAACGACCAACAGGCAGTCTCGGCACAGCTGGACGAGTCGGCGGCAGCACTGCAGCTCGTGGGGTGAAACCAACTCACTGCTTTTACTAAAGATGGCCTCCCACGATGAGCTGGAGAGGAAAACTCAGAGTTAGGACACAAGAAACAAACATCACGCTTATAAGTCATTGTTGTATGTTATATGATTTCACATGTTCGTGTTCTTGCTGTAGATGAGTACAAACGCATCTGCATCAACTCTAAAAATCAACAAAAACGTGTAAAAACCCGGAGGAGAAATGAAACAAATCCAAGTACAGTTAACCCTGCTAACAATCCGGGACATACCCCTGACTGTGAGAGACTTTCAACAACTGAGACAGACAACCCCAGGGGGCAGTTTTCATGTCTTCTCTTTTAGCTCCTTGGGAGGTGGGACGTGCTTCCTCTGAAAGGCCTAAAAACTGTGTGCATTTCCATTCTCCTCCTCCTAAGTCCTTCTTAAAAGCCTGTTGAATTCATTTCCCACAATAGCTGCTGGGTCGTTTGATTGTTGTTAAGTCCCTCAGATAAAATATCAAACAAGAGACAGAGAGGAGCAAGGAGGAGGTCTTCACCCTGGATTTAAGAGGGGTGCTTTTGGAGCGGTAACCGCCTCACTGTCTCTGCGTGATACGGAGCCCCCTGTTGGGTTTATCCATGTTAGGGCGTGCCTGGATGAAGGTAGGGGGGCAGGCAATAGGCTAGAGAGCTGCCTGGATCACCAGGGCCATGCTGTGATCAGACAAAGACAAAACTGGGGGAGATTCAGCCTTGGATAAGCTAATCTCAGCAGGCTAATATCCCTCCACCCAATCCCTGCCATTGCAAACAAAGTCTCCTTTTAATCACTTTCCAAATTCTCCCAGTCACTAAGTCAGTCTTTTTCTCCATCTTCACTTATCCACCACTCCATCTTTGTCACCTGCTTGCTCCCCTCCACCCTCACCCTCAATTAGTACTCTGAAGGAAGCAGGAGAGCAGAGTGGAGAGCTGTGAAAGGCAACTCGAGTTACCCCCCTGAGCCCTCTGTGCCAGGGGGAACACGCCACCGAACAACTGAATTGTAAAGAATATGAGGAGGAGGAGACATGAGAAGGTCACACCTTTATCCCAAAGGAGACGAAAAGCCAGCAGTTGGGCAGCTGTCTATATATCAGGGAGGCATTTTTGAGTCTGTCTGGGTTCGAGATGATTAAAACTGCTTTAAAGCCTCTTTGTTAAGAAAAAAAAAAGTTAGTTAGAGTAAAGTTAGTGTTGAGAAAACAACAACTGGAAGATAAAACGTGTTAAAAGGGGGAAGCACTATTTTAATTTATGTAAATACTGTTTTAATAAAATAAACTACAAGAAAACTTCAAAGTTTATGATGACAGTTGAACCTAAGAGGCCTTTTTTTTATTCATAGCCAATTCCATCCCTCCCCTTCTCTCTCTTCCTGCTCTCACCTGTGAATAAGCCCTGATTAGGTGGGGAAAGTGCAGCGGGGTCTGCTCAATCTGTCACTCACTCTACATCTCCATCTTTCAGCCAGCATTTTCTTTCTTAAGTCACACTGACTGGAAATGCCAAATTGTCCCTGCTGTCAGTATAAACTAGTTTATTGATGAATGGAGGGCATGGGGAACATTTGTGGCGTATGAGCCTCTAGACATGGAGATGAAGGAGAGGTGCAATGAATAAAGTGGTAATTGCTAGGAGTGCAGACACTTGTTCTGTTGACTGCAAGGGATTAGAATCCACTCATGGGTTTTGATATTTGCTCTCTTTTTCTTTTTGTTGCATCTTCAAACTAAATAACAGAATATACACCCTTTCAGGATAATATCACAAACAGTTTACAGTATATCATATCTACAAAAAAATGAAACAGGCGCTTTTTGTAATTCATAGGTTAAAGTTTAATTTTTTAAGCACTTCAGGATTCTCTGTTTTCTTTTAATATTAATAGAATGTGACACAGGAAATCTTTTCTCTCAGTCACTATAAAATGTAGTAAATCAAGAGAATGTGCAGTTTGGGTTATGAGGGATCTTCAGACTTTTAAGAGGCAATTTGTAAATAAAGAACAAGAAAATACATAGTCATCGAAATGAACTCAGATCTGCTTATCTAAAGCCAGAGCGTGTTTTAAAAGTTTTGAAAAACCTGAGATGTAAAAAGGTATCCAAAACTCACTGCAAAACTGGAATTTTAAGGACTACTGTAAATCTCCATAACAACTATTCCTCACCATTTGCATGCCAAGAAAAAGCTTTTTCTGTCCTACCATGCCAAATGTGCTGAGTTTTTAAAATGCAACTTAAATTCCAATTCAAATTGTTTGCTTTAAAAGGTGAGTGTAGAGTGAAACAAAGGATGGGTGTATATTAAAGGGACACTGTTAAGTATGTTGGAGGATCCTCCCTTTTGCTGTATTAAAATGGATATTAAATAAAAACAGAAGTGGTTCACTAGAATCAAAATCAACAGTCCCCAGGCTTTAATCATAGAAAAAAACTTGTAAAGTGAGCAAAAAGATGAGTAACAAAAATATTGTATTCCCTATATTGTATTGTCTATTTGACAGAGATTGGTAATCTGAGAAAACTAACAGATGAACATTTGACTTCTAAAAGAGGATTTCCCCCTTGAATTGAAAAATAATACTGAAATTAAAAGAATATTTTTCCTGTGTGATAATGTAAGAGGAAAATTATTTAAAGCTTTTAACCAGAAAGGCCAATAACTTTGAATGGCGTATTTGAAATATTGTTTTTCTCAGTATCATTTTAAGACTTTGCCTCTCTGTGAATTTGAGTGAAGCTCGTTAAAAGACACAGCTCAGACCGGCCTACCCGGTGTTGGAGAAGCAGTTCCAAAGTCCCTGGCCGTGACTCCACAACAATCGGTTGAAGATGCGGTTAAAAAGCCGATAGAGGTGCAGGCTCTCTACATCGGGCTCCCTCCAGATCCGCTGCAACGCTGAGCGGACATTTGTGCGAACGATGTCCAACACCTGAGGCAGCCAGGAAGTGAATGTGAAATGAAGAAAAAATGTCACTTTAAGTTCAGAGTTGTACTAACAAGAGAGTTGAGTTTTTGTAAAGTAGATGAAGGTGTTTCTTATTTATATGCAGAACTTGGCATTTCTTCCTATTCTAATTTCTCCTGGTTTTTCTTCCCCGTTGATCACACCATAATTTTTCCAATCACGGCTCTCAAATTTGCTCACCAACAAAGAGCAAGCTTGCATTTATGAATAACTTCAGTGAAAAATACAAATTCAAAAACACAAACAGGAGCAAAGCTTTAACAAAAATTTACACTCTCTAATGACTATGTGAGCAGTTTTGTCACTGCTTTCATAGAAGTGTTCATGCAAAGATATGAAGCCAATGTCTCCTTTTTGTGTATGCGGCTGAGCTACAGGCAGGACAAAAAAACCATTGGGGCATATAGTGGAGAGCCTGGGAGAGGACTAATTGCTGCACCGATGTCAGTCTTGGAGATAAGGTGTCAGAAGTTCCTGGGCGGTCTGCAGACACCTGCGCCAGGCTTCCATCTTCCCCTCTTCCTTTTTCCTATTCCTTCCCACCTCACAACATTCTCTTTTTCCCTTTTCCTCCCCTTTTCATCCCAGCTCAGAGCAGTGCTGAGGCTCTTTTGACTTTGATTCCTTGCTCCTCATTACTGAAGTGCTTGTCCGTCTGTGCATCCGCACGATGTGTGTTTGTTTTCGATGCAAAAGTAGTGAGATTTCCCCACAGCAGCATGAGGCGAGCAGGGCATGCATGCGCTCTCAGACAAACTGATAGATGAGTAAACACACAGATATGTTTTGGTATGGTAATCAGACGGCAGAGCAGTGGGTGCTACGTTCCTGACCTCTGCCTGCTGCTCATTAGGCTGCTTCACTCCAAATAAACATGAGCTCACGCCACCGAGGCCCACAGCTGAGCACAGTGGATCACAAAGCAAAGGCTGAGAGATCACATCATTATTGACACGCCTACCGGATGCCATTTCACGGCTTGTCCCCTCTTCTGTTTTGTTTACATCTTTTTTGGGGTGAATCTACCTCCCGTGGTCTGACATGGTAATGATGTTCATGCTTGTCATGTTTCTTTTTTCTTCCCTTTTCTCTAAAGTTTGATTTGGGGATTATGTTTTGTGGTTTTTAAAAGTTGTTGAAAAGCTTTCAAAGAAATAGGTAGGCGCCATGACATTTTGTCATGTTGGGTGGTTTTAACAACGTCCATTCTGCACAGGGCGACAGTATAGGAGTCCTGACAGCAAAGGCCATTTATACAGATGTCAAAAGATAAATGGGCCCCATTTTTAACACTTTTAGACCTAACATAAAAAAAAGGCATTATCTTGGTGAATTGTGGCTGAAAGATAAATGTGTCCCATGTTTAACTCTTTCAGAGCTAACATAAAAAAAATGAAGCATTACTTCAGAGAAATGTTTCTGAGACAGGGTTCAAAATAAACCTCTTCCTTTCATCCTCCAACAGAAAACTGAAAGTTTTTCACCGAAAAACATTTCCACACATGTATTCACCTAAAGCAAAAATTTAAACTTGCTCAAAACTCTACTAATCTTTGAAATAATTTTCCAGGACACATGTAAACAGATTATAAAATATTCACTTTATTCAAATTTTTACTTTTTTCATAAAATCATAATATAATTTACTGTCCTACTAACTCAGATTTGTGAACAATGACAGTCATATTGGTTTTATTAAGTGATGTACATAAACAACACAAGGGTTAATTAGGACGTTTTTACTGCCCACATGGATGGAGACACCAAATTATTGCTCTAAAAAATGCAAATAAAAAAAAAATGACAAAAAGCATGTTTCTAATGATTTTCTTGAACCTTTAAAGAAATGTAAAGACATTAAATGTCTGTCAAAATGTTGGCGGGCAACCTGTTTCTGAAATGTTTTACTATATTCAGTATTATATTTTCAAAAGTAGTTCCTTCCTTTTGTTTCCCATGTTTCTTCTAACTTTTGCTACATTTCCAAAGCAGTTTAGTTGATCAAATCCAGGACCTGTTATAAATTATCCTTTGGATTCATTTCTTGTGCTAAATTACTTCAGATTTTAATTGAATTGTTCGCTGTCTTGCTTAAAAGTGAACTTTCACAAGATTTTAAAAGTCTCTAGGAGATTGCCCTCCATGTGTGATCTGTCTGCTTGTAAAGCAGACAGCATGAACTATGGTTCTATTTACTTTAGATTAGGGACACTCTGCCTAAAGAAGAGCAGTAAAATATCTTGATGTCATGTTCATGAGTTGTGGAGAGATGGGCAGGCAGATTGGGGCCTCCTAAGCAGTAATACACCATCTTTCCAGTCTATGTCCCAACCCTGATTAATGGTCTCTAGATAGAGGTTCTGAGCAAGAAATAATAATCTGGAAACAAGTGACTATACATAAACTTTCCTCTAAGGTGGACTGTACTCAGCTTTAGAGATAGGACAGAAAGCTCTGTCTTCTGAAGAAAGATCCAAGTAGAGTTGCTGCACCTTTGCATCAAAGGGTTCAATTGAGGTATTTTGAACATGTGATCAGGATCCCTCCTGGGTGTCTAGGTGTTTTCCAGTCATGTCCCAGTGGGATAAGGCCCTGAAGCAGACCCGAGTTTTGCTGGAGGGACTGTATCCCTTCTGGCCTAAGAATGACTTGTGATCACTTATAATGAGCTGCAGAAGGTCACCAGGGAGAGGAATGACTGGGTTCCTATACCAAAACCAGTATTTGCCAACTTGCCCATTGCTCTCAGAAAAAAACTCAAGAAACTGGATGCATAGGTGGAGTTTTAACTGGGGGCTCTAATGGTTTTCTTTTAAAACTACCATCCTATCATCAGCATTTTAGGACTACAAACCTAGTAGATGTCCTGCAAATTCATTCTCCAATGTTCAATTGATAATCTCAGTTGTTTGACCCTAAAGACTTTGGTGACTACAGCCCAAGTTTATCAATCTATGGTCAGTCAAGTGGGCTCCTTCAGGTTTCTCAGACAACATGGGTTTTAGAATAAACACTTTGACATTATGGTTTCTATATTTCAGTGGCAGATGTACTTCCTCAGATGACTCAGACTCCAATGGACTAGTAAAAAAAAAAAAAGTCTCTTCTACCAGAAACCTGTCCATGCAAATAAACAATTAGCCCTCCTAAAAACTGCATGTAAAATCCTTCCTTATCTAACCCATGTTCAGCAGTATTGGTGTGAGCATCTTCTTTTAGGAAAGATTACATTAACTGTCCCAGAGTAATACTTTTGCAAGGCACTGTATGTATATACGAAATAAATGAATTGAAATGTATCTAACTCAAGCGGAGGTATACTGAAGCTTGGATTGCGCTTTGAGACTCACCTTCCTCTGTTTGGTTGAGTCCAACTTCACCAGCCAATAAGATGCCACTTTTGATTTATGGTACTTCCAGTTGTCAAGAATCTGTGTAGGGAGTATGAGTGTTAGAGCGTTTTAAATGTCTGCTGCAAAAAAGGAGATATTGTATCTAAGACCATTTTATGAGATGTAAATACATAGTTGGTAGAGACTTATGGTTACATGTCAGAAGAGAAAGTAGAGAAAAATGAGGAGAAACTAATTTAACATATTAGGTTAAAGAAAGCTAAACATCAACAACAAAATAAAAAACATTCACCTTTTTAGAAAAATGATTGTCATCCATTTATTGATGGACTCATTCCAAAAAACCTATCACGTCCTGAAATCTGCAGTGTCGCTAGGTTAGTATCTCCCTGAAGAAGTCATTGACTGCATAATGTTGCAGAACAGCAGTCCTTTATGTACAGTATGCAGGACCCCTCCGTGGATTGCCTCTTATTTTGAAATTGATCAGAATCGCTTTACTCTCCCCATGTCTGACTTCCTGTGAAGCTCATCTGGTTTTCAGAGATTGGTGCATTATTTTGTCATCTGTCAAAACAAGACTCATTCCATATATCTTATGGATGACAGAGGGGAGCTTTGCATCAAGCTGCAGTGCAACAGAGTTGGTAAAGATTAACCTCACTGAGTGGAAAAGCTTCTATTTGTGATGGATTGGAGGACGCATGGACTAAGGAGTCTATATGAATGAATAGTCTAATCGTTTCACCCATCCCTCAAATTGGTCCTCATTATGATAGAGTTCCATCTTCACAACAGACTGTTTAATGCTGCATATTACAATGTGTAGTGTTATCTTGCTGTTAGGGCTCTCAGGGTCCTGTCCTCTTGCGCCTAATTAAAGAAAGCATTTTACCTTTATTGATATATACTTGTCTAATTCTCTCCTGGCATCAGAGTTCAATTTTTTTTCACATTAGTATTTGTGAATCTCATAACAAAAGTTCTTTGAAATGCTGAAAGCTCAGAAAATAAATCCAATTTATAAGAGCTATACTAAAAGAAGCATGTTTTGTTTTTATGTTGGATTATTCTAATTTGCTTCCTTGCAGCACCAGAATGACTCTGTTCTTTCACCCAATGCTGCTGTTATTGAGTTGATGGTACAAGATTCTCTGTAAAGATAGCTCACAGTGGAAAGCAATCCACCTTTTGGTTCTCATACACAAGTATGATTGGGTTTCAAATATCTGAAAATTCTGTAGGTACAGAATGTAGTACAAAAACAAGTGTGAAACTTCTCTCTGTATCCATGTGTGCAACAAAAGACGAAGGTATTAAGCAAAAGATTAAGGCAATTTACTCAGATACAAACATGTATTAAGCCCAATTAAAACTTGAACTTTTAACTACCGTATTTACCGGACTATAAGCTGCTCCTTTTATGCCAGGCTTTGAACCATGCCGCTTATAAGAAGGTGCAGCTTTCCTGGGGATTTTTCCTAACCACCAGAGGGGGCTAATTTTCATTTAGCACAAGAACAAGCCAGCACCAGGCACAGTGGAGAACAAATGTCCCAAATTCATATATTTTGACATTTATTTGCCTCATTAAAGCTGCCGAACCAATTAAGAGACTGGGCTCAACTCCTGTAGAGCTGAAATAAAGATCTGACGAAGCCTCATATTTCTGTAAAAGCTCTTATTGCTGCGAGCCAGCAAGCTAACAGGAGCTAGCATTCTTCTTCTTCCCTACTCTAGTGGTGACATGTAGAGCTCCCCCTACAGGTTTGATATCTACAGTTCAGTAGATATCAATGGCTTACAGCCCAGGGCTGTTTATTTATGTAAGTTTCCAGTTTAAAAAAAAAAAAAAATCGGTGGGTGAGGCTTAAAGTGAGGTGCGCTCTATAGTTTGGAAAATACGATATGACAAAAAGAAAGCTAGGTGAACACATCGGTTTCCATGGTGCTTAACGCCGGAAATCCCAACTCTTTGAAGTCAGTGTTAAGCCAAGGAAAACATTATTTGATTAATCTGATACAATACATTTCTCTGCTTTTTGTTTTACGAAATAAGAAAATATGCATACAGTGCAGAGAAAGCGTTCAAAATTCATATTCAAGACAAAGTGATATTTTATCTCAGTAAGAAAGATCATAAAAATACTTTTTGTTTACTTAATATCTGAATCAGAATGTGAAACAATTTTTTCAAAGAGCAATCTATATCAAGCTTCATTTCCATTAAGTTTGATTTTAATGGCTTACATGCATTGAAAACAAAAAATGTATTTCCTTTTTAACCAAGGCATGCAGAAATGTCATAGACTGCAGAATCATTAGGACTGCTGACTTAACAGGTGTCCTGTAGACTTTCAGTAGTACCCTTCACAGGGAAGATGAGCCCCAAAAAATGTTGTTAATGAAGCTGACTACAGACATATTAAGTGGCAGTTAAAAGAAAGAAGACGGTGTGCAGAAAAAGATGCATATGCATCAGAAAAACCCTTAAATAAGCTTTGAGCTGTAACACTGAGTTCTGCTCACCTAATGCAAGAGTTTTTTATTTTTTGCCGTTACTAAACACATAGTTAACCAATTTAAAGGACATAAGAAAAAGTCAGTCCTTAATAGTAAACTTATAAGTAAAAGTCTTCTAGTTCACTCTAAAATGCTTATGCTCTAAAGATTTATGCCTGTTCTGTGTCACTGCAACATCTAGCCTTCTATCTTTGAATAAGATTTTTTTTTAGCCAAGTGGAGAGGATGTAACACATCTGTTTGAATGTGACACCGAGGAATAATTGAACCAGCCCAGGTGTGCTTTTTTGCAAATATTTCAAATGCATCCTTAAAGGACAAAGCAGCTCAGCTTCCTGGTGGTATTTTTGACACTTATCCTTGTCAAGAAAGTGTGTCTGGTTTCTGTCCATTCTGCCCTTTGGAAAGGTGGCACAGACACAAGAGACTGAGAAGGGCATTGGCAGTTAATAGAGAGCACAATAGACTAGTTCACACTGCCTTTACATTATGGATGTGCCTTTTCTGTCACAAATTTAAGAGGAGCTGATTAGTTTCCTTGGTAGCCTTATTGTATGGGAGTTCAACAAAGCATAGCATTTTTTATAGGCTGATTTAAACAACGTTGAGCAGATGAAATAATAATAATGATTAAAACCTCCACCAAAATCAAAGAATAACCTCAATATTTCCTTTAATTATAAGTGATGGGATTAATAACCAAAACTGGAAACCTGATGGTTTCAAACATACAAAAATTATCTTTGCAAACATCAAATCTGCAGTCAGTTTCATTCATATCCACAGTAGATATGTAATAGCTTCTCTGCTGATTTTTTGCAGATATAAATGAATTGTGTGATGGGAAATAGTAGTATTGGATTGCCAGCCCTAAGAAAGGCTGTTGCTGGGGTCATTTCAGTGGAGGAGAAGAACAGCTGACAGGCTGTTGTAAAGTACAGTGAGGAGGTGAACTCACTACTCAATATTGATACCAAAATATGATTTTTTTTCCCCATAAAATAACACATAAATGAACAACCTAGCTATAGTAAAGCTTGTACCCACCTCATCTAGCACTGCCTCAGCCTCCTCCTCAGTTTTCCCAGGAAACCTGATCCGCATTGCGGTAAGTGCAGACAGGGTCTGGCGCACCAATTCAGCCTCCTGCTCCTTCGTCCTCAGATTAATGAGGGGATCACCCTAAAAGTCAACAAACAAGTTAAAAAGACTAATAGGATACAATCAGATTATTGACATAAATGTTGTGTATGTAGGCTCAAACAGACACCACCTAGTTAATGTTGGGTTCGTTGGTATTTAGTAAGGTTAACAGAAACAACAAGGTTTTTTTTTTGCCGTTAACAAGATCACTGATCTCCGGGAGCTTATCTAAAATTGGTCGACCCAGGCCGAATCAAATCTTCAGTAGAAATTACGCTGATGCCATTTCAGAGGTGTTAAACATTAAGTGGATAAATCCAAACATTACAACTACAAAATATGCATAAAGCCCACTTTGGGCTATGAATCAACACTGCTACTACATACAGGTCAAGGCAAAATGTTATCTCACTTCATGAAATACATTAAGAATGAATACAATCATAAAGGAGTTAGAGAAGTCTTTAACATAATGTAAGGCAATAAAAAGTTTCAATATTTCAAACTGTAATTATAGGAAAAAATGGTGGAGCTGGGCCTCTATTCAATTCAAATGGGCTCTGCATTAGTTTTTCAAATAAAAATTGGCATTTTTAATAGTTAATTAGGTTCCTTAAAAACAAAAAAATGTTCAAATGCAATTTAAAAGCCAAAACCTAACCGAAAAATCTAACATTCATGCCCACAATGTGTATGCTGTATGTAAGCTTCTGACCAGTACTATCAATTTGTTAGCATTTGTTCAGCCCGGTTTCAGTTTTTTCAACAGTATCCAGAGAATCAGGGGAAAACAGGGGGAACCTCCACATATATAATAGGAGCACATATAAAAGTCACTAAGTTGGGCCACACCAACCTTGCTTGTCTATTTAAGTCAGTCAGCATATTTTATAATCAAACAGATATTAAGTTTGTATGAAGGAATGTTGCAAATCCTACTAAATTAGAGTGGATGGTGCCCAGGCTGCTGCTGTGAGGCACACGTTGGGTGGAGCCACTGCGGCTCAGCGAATGTGAGCGAAGCGTGGCGGAGCTTGGCCTGGCGAGAGGCATTGTCAGCGGAGACGGCCTAATGGACAATACTCGCATCTCACTGGGTGACGGAAGGGATGCAATGGACCGAGGGCAAGAGATAGAACGTCTGATTGGACCCGAAAGAGTTGGGGACACAGAGGGTGCGATGCTGGTTCTGATAGGCTTGATTGGAGGTTTCCAGTGCATTCGACCTATAAAAAAAACAGAAGGAAAAGAGAAGATTGTCCTGAGAAAATTCCCTTTCATTCTCTGGGTTTTTCATGATATCTCTGTCAAGCTTTTAAGCTCTCTTGTTTGCTATGGATCAGTTGGTGCATACATCATGAGATGAAGTGTGACACACTGACCCAGCAGTCGGGCTTTTGTGTTAGAAGCAATTCTGTTTCTTGTATGGAATCCCAGAAACTTAGCCGAAATCTGGCTCTTGTCTGGTCTGGGGATAGATTAAGGAGCAGAAGCAGAAACATAGGATACAGGTGTAAGCTTGCTAAAAGCTTAAAGTCAAAGCCTCGGAGTCTTTTCATAAACCGGGACACTATTCTAGCTTGTCTATCGGCCAGTGTAATGGTGTGCGTCCATTGTAAAGAAATCTTACAAGGATTTCTCTGTGTGTTTTTGTATGACTGTTGACTGTCTCCCAAGGTTTAGTCAGTGCCAACTGTGAGTATTATGGGGCTTAGTTGTAGCGGTCCTTTGGTCGCTCGGTATAGAGAGGGACTTGGCAAGATTGCAGTCTCTCTCTGCACAGTGAATTCATTTTTCATGATTTCACTTCTTATTCTGTGACAAATTAAATGGGTTAATCCAAGACTCATCTCACTTAGTGCCATAACTTAGCCCACAATGCAACCAGAGAATTTCTCAGCCAAGGTCAATGCACTGCCTTCTATGCAAGGTACTCTCTTTTCTCGCTTTGTTTCTCAGTTGACACATGTGATTTTGCTATCTGAAGGGAATGTATTAGGCTTATCATTATTGCTATAAAACAGTATGATTCAACAACAACCCTTGTGAAATTGTCAAGGTGTTTTACAAAGGTTCTCTGCTTCTTTTTCAGTAAAATCACTCCTATTCATGCCTGAGTAAATTCTTAGTCATCCAGGTCAAGTCGAACACAAGCAGTCTGCTCTATGATGTACTGGTCACATGTCCAGGGTGTACCTACACCCTGCCCAATTACAGATCATGATAAGCTACAGCATCCCAGGGAGCCTGACAAAAATGCAGGTGTATATAATGAGTTGACGGAGGAAAGCAGTAGTTCTCAAAGAGAGAATCAAACTGAGTTAATTGGGTAACAGTATCAGTCATGGGAAGAATAGAGAAAAGCCCACAGCATTATGTAAAAACAATGTCACATAAGATAAGTAATCAATAGCAAGACACTGGCATTCAGAAAAAAACTAAACCTAAACCTAAAAAACAAGGCAAAATTATAACTGTTGAATGAGGCTCCCCAAAAGTGATAGAAACAGTGGATGAGCTGCAGTATTTTATTTTTTTTTTTAACAAATATAGGTTGTTTTCAAACTGGACTGATAACCATCCTCTCTGTTTACCATATGTCTGAACTATGAAGCAAGGCGATAAGGTCACAGATCTTTCTTCTAAAGTTCACATCAAAACCTGACTAAAGTCACTCTAATGTCTGTTAGTGAACTCAAAAAGAAATCTTGGTGTTATTATTATTTTTTTATTAGGACCTGTCATTTAAATCTCTTGTCAAAGAGGTTTCTAAAATTTACATCTTTCATCTGCGGAAATTTTTTGAAATATCCTGTCCAGGGTTGATTCTAAGAAACTAGTCCATTTGTTACTTCAAGGCTGGACTATTGTAATTCTTTACTATCAAGAAGTCAACAAACAGAAGTTAAAAGCCTTCAGCTGATCCAAAATGCTGCAGCCAGAGTTGTGATGGAAATTAAAGAGAGATCATATCTCTCCCATCCTAGCTTTTCTTCATTGGCTTCCTATTGAAACCAAAATATAATTTAAAATCCACTTTCTCATATATAAAGCCTTAAATGGCCAAGCTCCATCTTATATTAGACATATGATTGTTCCTCTTTCTTCCTAACATAGCACTTTGCTCTCAATCTGCAGGTTTACTAGTGGTTCTTAGAATTTCTAAAAGTAGAATGGCAGATCTTTTAGTTATCAGGCTCTTCTCCTGTGGAACCAACTACCAGTTTTAGTCCGTGAGGAAGACACCCTGTCTACTTTTATGGGTAGGTTTAAAACTTTCCTTTTTGATCAAGCTTATAGTTAGAGTGGCTCAGGTTATCCTGAGCGATCTCTAGAGTTATGCTTCTATAGGCTTAGACTGCTGGAGGACATAGGAGCCCCTTTTTCATCATTCTGCTTCAATCTATCTCTATTCTCCCATTCTGCAGAATCTGTTAGTTCAATCTCTAATGCTATGCTTTCTATGCTTTTTCTCATAATAGCTTTACCTCGTCTGTTCCTGTTTGGCTGTGTTTAAGGTGAGTCGGACAATGGGAAGTTTCAAAATGTTTAATGACAAAAAAAATAAAAAGTAAAAATACTCCTTCCACTGGCAAATCATCTTACTTACCTTCTAAAATTAAGGGTAAATAAACTTGATTTAAGACACTTTTACTCAGTTCTAGATCGTTTTTGCAGCATGTTAATCATTGTTGCTTTTATTGTTATTGGTAGACAAGAGGTTCAGTGATAGTTATAGTCATGGAGATGATGCAGAGGGATAGCATAATACTAGTGGTAGGAGGAGAAGGTGTTGAAAAAAAATAAGATAGAAAAGTAAGACAGTAACTAAGAAACCATGCTTAAAAAACATAGTGACACATAGAAATCACGTTGGCAGGGCTAAGGTGCAACTGCCAACATAGAATTATATTAATCTCCAGGATTGTAATACAAACATTGGCTCGTTGACAACTAAAAACAGGCCAGAGAAAATGTTTATTGCACATTTATCTTGAATTTCCAAATATAGCTTCTTTTTAAAATAACCTGCTCATTTAGTAAACCTTTAACAACAGAAGATAGTTTAATTAAATTGGTACACAAAAATTTACTGTTGGAATTAATGTTTTTTCTACAGCAAATAAAGTATTTGTGTTAAAACAGGATTACATCCATACTGGGATTGTTTAAAAGGCCTCTTCAAACCAAGCTTTCATCTTAGTTAAAATGCTAAGTCAGACAAAAGCAGTTCTGAAAAACACTGGAGAGGTGAGAAAATAATGAAAAGAGAGAGACAGATAAAGAAATATAGTGAGAGAGATATAAATACATTAAAAAACAGTCAAGGTAGATAGAAACTGAACTGTTGCAGATAAGTCAGTCTTGACCCAAACCTTAAGAAAAATGTTTCTTTAAAAGTTAGACATGTTAGCAGTCCTTTGTGTAAAGTAGTCAATGTGAGCTCAACAGAGGGAGGATCTAAGCAATGATCTTTGTAAAGTAAGTTTCTGTCAGTCAGTCAAGAAAAAGCCATAAGGTTACTTCCAAACAGTTTGGAGCTGATCAATCCAAAAACAGAAGAAAAAAAAAAATTCTCACATCAATAAAATATCAGAGAGAACTGCCAATCTTTCAAAACAACCTTCGGTAGTAACATCTAAACCCTCACAGCTCCCTGTTTAATGTTAAGATGTGGCAATGATATAATTTAAAAAAGAGTGGCTAAGCATTGCCTGATAGGATAGATGTACAGTCAGATCTTAAAGTCGTAAGGAAACGGCTGTTTCAACGGTTGCAGTTCCGAATTCTCCTGAGTGGTGCCCAAATTCCCACAGGGGAATAAAGTGAATGTGATTGGTCGATTATCAAGGGGGCAGGATTGTTGTGGAGGCAGGTTTGCAAGCAAGTTTGGTTGTGACCAAGCAGGTTTGCAAGCATGTTTGGTTGTGACCAAGCAGGTTTGCAAGCATGTTTGGTTGTGACCAAGCAGCCCTTAGCAACGGCACTGTCAAGGAACGCTATGGACAGCGGAAACATGCAAGAGGAGGAGTTTTGTGTCAGAGGTTTTGGATGAGTCTCCTCCGTTATACAATTTTATTTAGAGGAGGAAAGCGGGGACAAAGATGTTGTGAAAGAAGACCAGGGCAGCAGAAGCTCCGTATGGTGTAGAAGGCTTACAGTCGTACATGTTTGAGCCCTTGCCTCGCAATGCTGCCAGTTCTGTAGCTCTACGCCTGCCGAAGACACAGATGTCATTCCCCGTGAACACTGGGACGTAACTCAATGGTATTATTCTTATTTCAACCGTTGCGTATATTAGCTGCGACATATGAATCAGGATGCAATGACCAAAAAAATTTGATTGACAGATGGCCATGGATATTTGATTGGCCGAATTTAGGTGTACAAGCCGACATATAACTAACTGGCCTGCATAAAATAACGGAAAAAAACACAGATTTTAAGACAGGATTAAAAAAAAAATATAAAAATTTTCTAACTTTTGGTACAATATGGTCTGATAAAGAATACAATTATATAAACATGTTTAAGCCAGAATGATTTGAAATTTAAATATGACTTCCCTACGACTTTAAGTACTGGCATGCAACAAAAACTGTCGGAACCTCCCGCTTATTGTGGCAGAGATGGCAAAAAATGTTCCAATTGTATAACAAAACGCTGTATGAGATTTGTTTGAATAGATTAGTCAGATTTTGGTTCTAATTAAGCCTTGGAGAACGACGTTAAAGTTTTTCAGAAAAGAAATATAAGCATAACTTGGGGTAGCAAAGTTTCAGCTGATCAGCTTGTGGGACTTCTGGTATGATGGTCCACAATGAAAAACAGTGCACGCTTAAAACTATAAAAAAAGTGTTATTTTTTTTATCTTTTCACCTTATTTTAAGACCAGGAGATTATTATTTTTTTTAATAAAACGTCACAAAACGAAGATCATTTATTTTCAGGTTGTAAATGAGTGATTATATGAACTTAGCAGAAGCTTTATTCATTGCAACATAATACGGCCATGTCAGACCCTGATTGTCCTTAGATGTACTGTAGGTTCAATACAGTGTCAAAAGGACAGAGATTTAGGTCATAATAGCTTCAACTTGTTGGTGCAGTTACATTTAGTTGGTAGTAAAAGTTTTTTTCAGTTTTATTTCTGGAGGTTTTACTTATAGATTTCATGTTTCTGGGTCTTTTAATTCAATAACTCATATCAGCTCATACATCTGCTCAAGAGGTCAGCTCATACATCTGCAGATATGTTTTATTTTTGATGATGTTATGGGATATAGCAAAACAGATAAGCTGTACCGTCACAATTGGTCATGTTGGAAAAACTGTAGGAAATGAACTTTTAACACTTAGCTGCAGTGAGGTCTATCTGCTAATTCATTCTGTGTGCTTTTTCATGTAATTACTGTCCTATTTACTGCCAACTGTTTATTTGATTTTGCACCAGTAGATTTAGTTTTTGACTTCATCAGCCTAAAATTCATAAACTTTTTATTTCATACAAAGCAGCTTGCAGCTTAGTCTAGAACAGCAGTGCCCTTTTTTAACAGTGATCTTAGTTCACTCTAAGGGTTTTGATTTTCCTCCTGAAATCTTTTACTTCTTCTTGTACTAATATTTTTTTCATGTCTCTCGGGGTCTTTATGGTACCTGGTAACTGCTTTTTTGTCATATGTTATAAACGGACGAGTTAGCAAACACAAAACAGAAAACAAGAACCTTGTCAGAGGACACACATTCCTCTCCTAATAAGGTTGTGCCAAACACCTTTGCCCTACCTGAACGCTCAGCCACATTCCTCTCCTTGCTCTCACTGAGGTCATAGGAAACCTTCTTTTCGCCTCTCTTTTCTCTGCTTCTCCCTGCTCCTCCTTTCCTCCTCTCATCTTCCTCTTCATCGGAAGACAGGCAGGAATTATCAGCACTGCTGCCACTGGTGAAGTCACCAAGGTAGTCTGGTCGTTGGCGTCTTGGTGTCTGTCTGTATTCTGGCATGGCGGTCAAGGGCTGGCAGGAGCAAAAAGCAGACAATCAGCACACATAGTAAACATAGGAAAACAATATAGAAAATACACTGACTGACCCTTAAAATGTTTTACTGGATTACAATAAAACTGAAACTATTTCTATGGTATATTATGCACTGGTGGGTGGTCAGGGCCTTTAAGGCCTTCACTGCTGGCCTAAAATCTATCAGGAACACTAACCTACATTCACAACCTAACTGTATTAATTTATCCCAAACAATCCAAGTTCTCTTAATTTTGCAGTGTTTCTATTGGCTGTGCTTCTTCTAATAGATTTATGTGGTTGCAATATTTTTTGTCAAATCAGATTTCCGGCTCTTTATGTGGCTATGCCAATAAAATCTGCCCAGGGCCTTTGGCATGACCAGTGCTGGCTGATCTTCCCTTAACAATATTCGTGAGGAAGGTTTTCTTCAACCAATCAGATTTCAGATTTGCCCTACTGAACCAGCTGGAGGGCCCACCTAAATGTCATTATTCTCTGTCCTCTGATTGGTCTGTTATTTATTTTTTTTATATGTATTTATGATTACTGTACAATATCAAGCATTTACAAGCACTAGACTCAAAATTCAAGCATTTTTTTTACCTTAAAAACATAACAGTAAAATTCAAGCATTTTAAGCACCTGTTTAAGCACCCTTTGCGCAAACCTTCTGAAGATCAAACCCTCAGTGCTATAAATTACAGTTTGCAATGTTTTAAAACTGCAAACTTTATGTTAACACAGCCATCCCGCATCTCCATATCAAGGTGGAAACCGGCAGTTTATTGATATTATTGTTTTGTTCAGCTCCATTCAGGCATCTGTTATGTCAGCCAATAAACTATGCGCTTGAAGTAGACACTTGGCTACTTATTCATATAGCTCGCTGCAACAGGGCTAATAGTGTAACGGAGGGCTGTAACGGAGATATGAAAAGTTTATGTTGTTTCGCACCATTGCGTTTTGCAATCCATGCAAGCTCTGCACAAACAATTCACACCAAAGTGAAATAGTCTATGGTTAAGGCAAAGACTCAGATCACAAACCTAATATTGTGAATATTGAAGCTAAAGGTTGCTCACTATAGAAGAGCAATACAATTTAAATAAATGGATAAAAATTATTTGCTGGAAGAATACCCATAATGACGTAACACTAAACCACTCAGATGAAAATAAACTCCTTTTGCAGCTTGATATAACCGATCTGTAGGGAATCCTCTAGAAGTCGCCCACGTCTAGAAACATTTCTATTAATTTAAGGATGTTCACCAAAACAGAGAAGGCCCTTTCTTTTATCTGTCTCCTCTGCCTGCATCTTCTCCAAATTGCAGCTGCCTTAATGATGTACAAAATACTATCAGACAAGTCATGAATTCACTTATTTGGTGATTTGGAGGATCATACTTCACTTATCAAATATGGATGAAATTACATGTAGATAAAAAAATTGGGGCGCAACATAATTAGCTGGATCAGACTTTAGTGAGCTGTTTAAGGACATTCTCCTGAATTTTTTTTTTAAAGGACATTGACATGTGATTGAACATTTTTAGTCCAAATAAAATTCCTAACATTATTAATGGCAGCAAGTGTCAGTGGGTGAAGAAAACAAAAAACAAAAACAAACATCCATGGGGTGATTCATTGCTGCAACATGGTAGACTAACTGGATTTCATTGTTTTTTGACAGGGCCCATAAAACATTCAAAGTGAAATCATCCACTTAAAAAAAAAATGTCAACAAGAGCATGAAAAGACAGCAGGAATGACAAGTAAGTTGATAGATGGATTTTTTGTTAAATGCACTCAAATGAAGATGGGGAACCAGTGCTGTAAATTATCTTTAACATAGAAAATAGTTCAAATGACAATGCAGTCAATTACTTCGTAACATCTATTGACAAACGTTTGGGGGGAGGTGATGCAGGAAGCTATACAACGTCTTTTTTTTTTCTGTTATCTCCCAGCTGGCTTCCAGAGTGCATCTAATAAAAACTTAGAAAGTCGCTTTCCCCTTAAACTACTGTAATGAGGACAAACCACAAGTGGTCATATTATCTTCAATAATTTTCCAACTTCCACAAGTTTGACATCATTGGAAAGCCTGGACTCCTCTCTTTCAGGATCTTTAAATATCTCAAAACAACCCCAGGTAGACCTACTGTAATGCTGGTTTTGCCGTGTACTTTCACATATGTCATAATGAATTTACTTTCTTAGAAGAAAAAGAAGCTACAAAAAATTGTTTGCCCTGCACTTCATAATTACTTTATGCTGCTTTGTCACATAAAATCCAACAATAATACACTGATTTTTCAAGGTACTGTTACGTCCACCAGGCTTGTTTGGTGGGGTAATATTAAAGGAGACAACACAAGGATTTTCTTAAATGATATAAATTATGTATTAAATGATATTAAAGAAATAAAACCTGAAAAGAGAATACCTGAAATAAGAAACCAAAATAGAATAATGAAAAACCCACAACTAACCAGAAGTAAGCAAAACAAACCTAACAAAACCAAACCATAAAATACAAACCAAATGGGGTTTTGAGGAGGGAAAGGAAAAAGCCTCCTCTCTGCTGCATGAATAGCAGCCTTAAAGAAGCAGAGCGCCAATCAGGGTAAAACAGAACACCTGCAGAGGGCCTGTCTCCTGAACCCTACAAGGAAAAATGGCAAAGACCCACTGCAGCCGTAACAGTACCATATGCAAAAATAAAATTAAAAAGAAAATAAAAATTAGCAAAATGTGAACTAAGTGATAGCTCGAGTTCAAAACCCTATCTCATGCTCACAAGGACATAGGTGTGGAAGGTTGTTCAAAGGGAACGATAGCCCAAAGTGTGTTCAGTTAATGTAATATCTAGTTAGACAATTAGTACCTCTCTTTGGACTCTGCCATCATATCATTATATCTGCCATTATATATATATTTTTAACATTGAACATCGATTATCAAAATTAATATGAAAGAGTATAGTAAAGGAAGAGAGATTTACTTATTCAACAGATGCTGATTGGCACCCATTCTTTTTGGAAAAACAATATGTAAAAGCCTGGGTAGAATAAAGCTATTGAGAAAACTAGGTTTCTATGACAGCATGTAGGTCCTATTAGACATGAATGGGAAAACGTGCTTATTTTTAAGTTTAAATGTAATGCATAACAGAAAATATTTATTTTATTTTAACATTTATATACTAGATGCCATTAAAAGGGGTCACTGTGATTACAATGATTAAGATTTTCTACATCCTGTATTCAGTTCTTCACTATGAGTCCATCTGAATTAATAAGCAGGAGGTGATAATAGGTCTAAAAGAGTCACCTCTGGGTAGTCATGTGGGTGAGTGATGGAGGAGGGTACAGACAGAACAGGGTACAAAAAATAGATTAAATACCGGAGAATATAGTAAGGGAGAGAGATTGGAACATCAGGTCTAGGGAATAAGACATACAGAGGGATAAGAAGAATCTCAACAGAAGAAAAAGTAGCACAGAGGTTGCAGACGTAAAAATGAACAAGTTAGGATACATTTTCATGTAAAGGAGGAATGAAAAGGGTGCATGATAAGACAGTACAGGGGTTGACATTAAAGATTTTTACCACTTGCCTTTCTGGCAAGTGACTTTCACATTTCATTTGCCCAGAAACAATTTTTAATTGCCCAGTATAATGTTTGATAAATATAGTTCCTAATATTCATTTTTGTATATATATATATCAATGAAACATGTTTGTTTTTTAAATGTTTTTTGTAATTCAGTATTTTTTAAGTTTACAGGTTCCTGGTGTGTATATGCATGCGTCAGATGATGAACTCAAGCCTACATTAAAGTGTTAACATGCTTTTCAATCCTTCCTGCACATTCTTTTCAAACTAAACTTTGCCTTAAACTGTTGTGTGCTTGGAAAAATAAAAATTGTAATGTTAAAAATCTAAAAAAAAAACTTGACAGGTTAAAAACGTAAGATAAATCACAAGACAGAAGTCAATGTCACAAATAAATAACTTTTATTTTAGAGTCACAGTATGTTTATACAGGATAATACTATTAATATAATGTGACTTTTCTAGAGAATCATTATACAGTTATTTTATACAGGGTTTCCACAGTCTTACATCATTTCAGAATTCCCTGACTTTTAACTGACTCAGGATTAGTTTTCCCTGACAAAATAAATGCATCCGTTTGTTGTTTTGGTAACTACATCAAAAGTACCGCTAGGTGGACAAAAATCATGCCATCTGGCGGAAAATCACCTGGCTTTTTCAAATCACGCGCCTTTTTCAAATCACGCGAGAATGTGTACAAAACAACAAAAATGGCGCCGACAACGCTTCTGGGTCATTTTCACCGAATGTCGGTGATTTTAATGTAATTTTGAGTTTTGTTTGAAAACCAAAAATCGAAGGACAAGAGAATATCAGCCACAAGTGTAAGAACAGTAAATCTAATTTAGCATTTGGAGAGAAACAAAATACAATTACGAAGGCATATAAGAACCCCTTGCCATAATTCTTCTAAACTTTATCTCCCTTCTGCCTTAACTTTCTTCATTGACAGAAACATCGATGCCATGTTTTTCCTTTGAATTCTGTCTGTACCTCCTCTAGTCGCACTGTTTCACATTCTGCTTGGTTCAGCTCCACCAGATGGCTTGTAAGCAGCTAACCCTGGAGAGGGAATCTATCCGTCACAGCACTTTATTTCCCCCTGTTATCGATGTCTTTCTCCATACATTCTACATCGAAGCTGATGGGCCCCAAATTAATTTGGACAACAGTGATAGTGTCTGAACAGTGTCTCATTTTGACACGGGCCTTACAAACATTGCGCTAAACTTCAACGTCTGCTCCCTAACACACTCCTCAAGTGTTCCAGTCAATTTAGCCCTCGAGAGAGCATTGATGTACACATCCGGAAAAAAAGAGGGATGGAGAAGTAAATGTGATGAGAGTGGAGAAATTTGATAGAGGGAGGAATGGGGGGAAATTGAAGGGTCTTACAGGTGGATATGACAGTGTAGAAGAAGAAGATGATGATGGACAGAAAGAGAGAAGGGAAGGGGGTGCAGGTAGGGGAGCGTAGGTGAAGGATGCTGACAGCTGTATCCCTAGGGATTTGGTCCCCTCTTTGGGCCTCGTTCTGATTCTTTCTTTTCTTCCAAAAGTTGATAAGAAAAAACTACCCCACACCGAATTCCACCTCCTTTTATTTCTCTGAACCACGTCCGATGTGCTTCCTCAGAGTGTTAGCTCCAGGCGTGTGAGAACATCTCTCCATTTCATTGTGGCACTCTTCTACTTTTTGAGCTCCCATGAGGCATCTGTACCCTGTTCACTCTCTACTTGGTTTCTCCCAACATTTCTCCCGTTCACCCACCTTTGGGCCTCTTTGCCTGGAGGATTTACCCATCAGCTTCTCGTCATCCAGCTCACATTGCTCCAGCAGATCCAGTATATCTTCTTCCTGCAGGTTAAATTATCCAGACACAAGTTAGATAAGAAGATGCTAATAGTAAACACAAAAAATGAATATTTTATCAGTGTAGCTTTACCCTTCGGATATTCTTATGGAGAACCAATTAAAATGCTTTGATACAAATTTAAAATGTTTGTGTTATGTCAAATGAGGTTCCATAGGATAAAAAATAAAGAGAAAGCTTAATTTCAAAGATGTGCACCTTGTTTGTGGAGGATGGAGAAGACAAACTGGCCTGTGATTTTTTGTTGAGCAGAGCTCATTGAGGCTGAATTGAAAAAAAAAAAAAAAAAATAGATTTATGGACTCTGCCAACAGGCACAAGCTTTGTCCAATTGGCAGCTGTTGAAATGCAGGTGAAAATTATTAATGTTGAGAAATGAGAAACTTACACTCACTGCTTAAATCCTAGGTGATTGTTGGTTGGCTGGTGGCTGGGCTGATTTTATTATACAATAAATGTCTGGGAGTGCATGAAGCCCGGATGGTAGAACATGCCATCCTGGACACAGATGGCTGAAATGTCATATCTTCATAAGTTGATTGACCTCCTATCTTTCAGTTTTTCAGTATGCTTAGATTGTGTTGACTATTTGTTCCGTAGAGTTCCTTGAAACCTTTTTATTTGTGATATAAAAATATATAAAAAAACTTCATCGAACTGGATTAACTGAAGGAGGTTAGAACACAATTAGAGAAAAGCAAAATCTGATGTTTTTGAACATCCTTTAATAATACCTGCAACACCTTTTACCAATAGGGTTATAGCTGAGGTGTTCTGCTACCCTTTTTCTAAGCCTAAAATAACAGTGGTCTCTGGCCATTTTTGTAGACATTCAGGGCCGGATCTATCAAAGGTTTGCATGTATAAAAACGTGAGCTATTTCACTGCAAACGCTAAAAAAATGTACAAACTGATCTATCAA